TCTTCTGGTTCTGTAATTAATACTTAAGTACAATGATCCTTTTTGTTCTTTGACACTGTGAATTGAAATACATTCTTCTTCGTCATACGTGCGTGACATGAACTTGCACGGCTAAGAACGTTTTACAGCAGTAATTAGTGTACAATTACACATAGAGTAAAAGGGATAATATTAAAACCAAGTTAGCAGTATTGAATTTGTTGTCTTTGTTTCTTCAGGAAATGTACTCCACTATATCAAACAAAGCTGATGTTCTCTAAATTCTTATACAATGCCATTAAGAAAATTAATGATATTTTGGCACTTTATCATTCCTGTGTAATACGGAAGTGACAAAATTTAATTGGCTATGAGGACTTTTGAAAAGAAGTGGATGAATTCGTGTTCAGAAATGAAGGAAGGTAACGTTCAGAAAGCAAATTTTCTTCTTTACGTAGAGGTTGCATTGTATAAGATATTAATGATGTAACTTTGTTGGTCTATTGTTAGTGTCGCCCTTCCACGGCTTGAGTTAGTCATTCTAGCATATAAGAGGTGGGTGGGGATTTCGCTTCTGGGGCACCCTCCTTAATAAGGTGAAATAGTTTCTCTTCACCGTATATGATAAAATTACTCGGGATCCTATGAGAAATAATTGAGTTGATGATTAATGATAAAATGTGTCATTTAGTTTTGTATAGGTTACTTGCTTTTTCGTTGACGTGGAGACTAAATTATATATTAAAACTTTACATTGTAATTCGTGTTGTCCCTCATGAATAATTTGTGAATAAAAAGAACTAATAGCTCACAGTTATTGATTTACACTTCATGATTAGTAGACTAAACTTAAATATTAATGCTTTTATATTCTTACTATTATCTATTACCATTATAATGATTAATATTTCTGATTATCACATGTAATTATCTCAATCGATAAGAGTAAATAAAATTAGTATTTAATGCGTTATGCATTTTATACCATGAAATTGTAGGCATACCAAGGTTGTGGGCAAGGTAACTACCTCACTAGAATTTGCAGTCACTGTTTCCAGAACAACTGGCGAGAGATTTTAAAGTAAAAACTATCTCTGGAGTGGCGGAATGTCAATGGATACCTGCTCCGTGACAGGCTTTTTTCGAGGTCACATGGCAATTATTATTCCAAATTTATAGCTACATTAATTTATATTTTCTCTACCAAAGCACAGAAATGATCTATTGAAATGAAATAATTCATCAGTCATATTTCAAATTGACAATTGAGAGTATCATGTGTTAGCAATCATTTTTATTTAAGAGTGCAAAATTTGTATTAACTTTCTATTCTTTCTAGTATATTTCAGATTAGAAGCTTTAACGGGAAAACAAATTTTCGTTAAAAGAGCTGTTCACTCGTAAACGAGCATTATTAACTTGTATAGACTTGTTAATTTATTTTATATTATTGCTATATTCAACAAAAATGACAGAAGGATTCAACAAAAACTAGGAAATAATTCACCATTGAAACATTTCCGCCCATTGACAAATATATTTATATAAGGTAGAATTTACAAAGAAAATTTAGTTACATACGTCAAAGACTATAGTCATAACTGAAATTTGGGTAGCTTGATAGAACAAATCTGGCAAATATTTTCGAATGAAGTCACTATTCCCCGCTTCAGGTCGTTACAGTTTCAGCGTTTACTCGTTCATCTCTTTCTGAATTTATACCCCGATTTAAATGTAGAATCACTTGAAGGTCACGAGCTGAAAGGCGAGAGGGGCGCAGAGTCTGGGAAGTTACTCGTGCTCAGAGGAGTGCTGGGCTTTTCTGTCAGGCACGTAGCTCGTTCAGGCGAGGTTTTACGTTTAGTTTTTTAATGGAAACTATCAGCGGTTAAGCTAATGGTCTGTCATTTCCTTGAAGGTGAGACGCTGAAAAGCGAGATGTGTGTAATATTAGATTATATGATTTTGGAGTATATAACATATGTGTCGTGATTTTGAAGTGTAAGACATTTGTGGAAGAAAGTGGTCAGAGGACTGTTTCTTAAAATTTGTCAATTAATTTGCAATATTAAGTAGAACAATTTCCTAATTACTATATTATGTCTACGAATCGCCCTAAAAGAGACACTGAGAAGTCGTATTACATTTGCATTGAAGAGGAAGCTATTCCTTGGGTGTCGGGTGCAGGGATTTGCCAAGGAAACAATCATTAAAGTCTTCCTTTATTTATTTGTTTTGTCTCTTCTTCCCCCAAAATTCCTGGCCATTGCTTGAGCTGCGAACCAGGCAATGTAAAGCACCTCACGGCCGTTAATCACTGAACTGGAAAGGGCGAAAGGAATAGAGAGAAAACAACTGGGGTATAAGGGGAACGTAAGAGAAAAAGAAAGTACTGTTGAGTGGTATGAGAATGAATCTCAAAGGCAAGGAAATTGCATTACGGTTGACGGTTGAAAATAAATACAGAGAAACTGGCAGAGTAGACGATTTAGGTAAGATTTAGATGATAAAACTTAAACAAATAAAAGGAATGATGACCATGATAAAGATGGAGTGGATGGAGAAATGCGTTGCAGGAGGAGGAGGAGAAAGAGCCGTGTGAAATCCTGCAGTTCGTATACCCTGTTTTATCACTGACTGCATATGCATGATCGTAAAAGAAACTCTGCGGAGGGGGTGGGGTGGGGTAATGGTGGGGGAGGTGAGAGCTTGCCGGTGGGACACGGTCGCTGGGATGGGGAGAGATACAGAGTGAGTGAATAAGGTTTAGAGGTGCGCCAGTTATCAGATAGTTTTACGATGGAGCGATTGTGCAATGTGATGGTTCGGAGGTAGTGTGATCTTACAGCGTTGAAACTCGGAGGAAGGTCGACGGGGAAGTATTTAAACGAGAGGGTACAGATTAAAAGAGTTGGTCCGTGGCGTGGGTGAAGAGCTTTGAGTGGTTGTGAAACGAGACGTTAGTGTCGGGGAGTACGTGCGTTTGCGTGTTTGCAGAGTGGAAAGACGCCCGTTTAATACTAAATAGACTAATACAGACGAATGTATATTAGAAATAATCACAACAAGACATTTTAAAATTTAGATATTTATTAAAATATTAGTACGCAAAGTCAACTTTCAAGGAACACTTTCCCCATCTTCTATGGGTCTATAACATTTCAAAGAAAATATAAGAAATAACATTAAAGCAAGAAAAGAGAGAAAGAAACGTAAGAAATATATTTGCATAAAAAATTAGTGAAAGAAAAAATGGCTTATTAAAACTATTTAATACTTTCTGCTACTTAAAAAGTACAGATACGTACTATCACTACTGATTTTATTAGAGGAATATCATGTTGCATGGGTATCATGTTGTAAAACACTGGTACAGAACGCCATTGTGTCGGGAATAACTAGTTTGGCATACAGATAATGTGAGGAAGCTGTTGTATGTACTCTCTAAGAGCAATGTAGTGTGCAGTAGATGTAATCATGTGGTAAATAATAATTTAACAGTGGGGTTATATAGCAACGTGGTAGTTTCGAAATATACGGCTTGGCAGGCATACATGCAGTTAGAGGAGCCAATAGTCTATGAATATAGAAGATGAATGCAGCATGTCTTTGGTGTATAGGGAAGAGGTGGCTAAGGGCATCAACTGATGTTACTGCAGTGTCTCTGCAAACCCGGAGGTCCTGAGGTTCGTGTTGACGACGGTGGCAGGATTTTCGACACTAGCCAGATAGCTACTGAAGGTCGAGTTCTGTTGCAGTCTGAGAGAGAATCCCAGCGGCCGGATGCTCTGTTCGGTAGTTTTTCGTGGTTTCTCTGATCAATAGCAAGCGAATGCTGGAGAAGTACCCTACCAAACGGGCCACGGACCGCGCGCAATCGTTCCTTCCCATTCATGGTCCTTCCTTACGTCTTACACTCACGTACACTTACACGCACTACACTACCACACATGCAGAGGGGACTGGCCTGGGGCGGTGCCCCACTGGTGGGAGATACTTGGTCGGGGACCCCCCCCCTAGCTGATGATGGGTCGGCGCCGGTTCTCGCCATCCAGCTGGGCAAGACCACAGTCCCCTTCCGATCAAAACACGCACTACACTTACGGGACTAATGATCTTTAGCAGTTGACGCGCCCGGAATGACTAGTTATCAATGTGACCCGCCGACCCACCGTCAGCTAGTGGGGGGTTTCCCCGACCAGGTATCTCGCACCAGTGGGGCACCGCCCCAGGCGAGTCCCCTCTGCATGTGTGGAAGTGTAGTGCATGTAAGTTTACGTGGGTGTAAGGTGAATAGCAAGGCGGTAGTTTATGGAATTACGTATGCGTGCAGTGCGAGGAGGTAACGGTGCAACGGTGTGAGGATCGTACCTCAGCGCGCAGAGAGGGTCGTCGTTCGTGGCCCGGCGACGCGTCGGAGGTGCGGGCTGAGCGAAGCAAGGGCCGGCGCGGGATATTGTCGCTTGGCGGAGGGGAACGGCAGGGCGGGCGGGGGCGGGCCGGCGACGGCGCGTTAGTTGCGCGTGCGGGCCGCGCCCGGCGGCGGGGCGCGTTCGAGCGGCCGGCTCGCCGCGTTGCTCCGCTCCCGCCGCTCAGTTGTCGGCCTGGCGGCGCGCGGAGGCAGTCGCACCCCCTCGCAGTTGGCTGGCGCCCCCGCCGAAGGGCCGTACGCCGCGTTCGCGATCCGCCGCCCGCTTCCCGCCGCGCGCGCACTGGTTACCGCACAATTCTTACACGTACGCCTATATTTTTGATGTGATTGTATTCCGACGAGTTCGTGCTTTTTTTTGATTGTTTTGTAAAATTTCCGTGTGACCGGATCGGATTTGGATAAAAAAAAGAAAGTTTTGCCTGGTGTTCGTCGCGTCGAGTTGGCAGCAGGAGGGAGAGGGAGAGAGAGAGAGAGAGTGCGTCGGAGGTGCTTGCAAGAGGGTGTGAGCGAGTGCGCGAGTGCCGCTGGAAAAAAGTGTGGTTGGCGCGGAGTGCGCCGGAGGCAGCTCCAGGCGCGCGCGCGTGTCTCCATGAGCCGGCCCGTCGCGGCGCGCGCCAGGCGTCGTCGTCGTCTCCTCCTGCTCGTCCTCTGTGAAGCGGCCGGCGCGCACCCAGCCAGCCCGCGCCCCTGCCTCAAGGCCAGCAGCCCCGCAGCAGCCACCGGCGAGCGCCCTTGGACGCTGGCCGCCGCGCACGCGACGCCCGCTCCAAGCCATGCCGCCGCCGCCGCCGCCCCGGCGCCGCGACAGCCGCGACCGCCACGCGCGCCTCCTGCGGCGAATAGGTGAGCGACTGCCTCTCGGCCACACTCCACAACAACACTTGGGCGTTGTCATTAGTCAATGGAAACTGCACAATCAAGTTTTCATATTTTTTTACAGCAGAAACTAAGTGTTGCTATTCGAATAAATAACTAAAAAAATTATTGAAAGTCAGATAAAACAATAAAATACCTGAAATAATTGTCACCGTTGGTGGAAGATACCTGGTTCGGGAAAATCCCCACTAGTCGAAAATAAGTCTCGAGTCTCGCCATCCAGACGGTGAAGATCACAACCATTTTCCAGGAGAAAACGTGCACTACCCTTAGGGGACGATTGACCTTAATAGTTGATTCGCCCGGAATCGCTAACAATCAATCAACCGTGAAATAATAGAACAACGGATACTTCTGTTTTAACTTTGTATTACATACACAGTTTTGATAGATTCAAGTCACCCAAAATATTGTCAACTATCTTTAAAATTGGAATTTGGACCAAGGTTTTTTTTATTTTAAATATATTCGGGCTAAATTTGAAGCTCCGAGGGCTGCATTCCTAGTGATGGAGCAACGATTCGAATTGTTTTCACTTACACAGCGCGTCCCACCAACTATGAACCACTCTCACAACTTCCAAACGGTTCATAATAACGAAATGCAGATTACGCTCAACAATGCGGAATCATGGGCAAGTAATATACAGTAGAGATGCTGTTTAAAATAAATTTAGTTTTTGATAAATTTATTAATCATCTATTTGTAAATGGGATTACATTTTTTCTCTCCAACAATTGATTGATCATGAAAAGAGAAATACAAAGATGTATCATATGTTAATACTTCAAGCGTAATTTCAGTGTAAAATAAGGCTTTTTGACGTGTGATATTGAGTTAAACGGGCGATATTTCCTGTTGCAGCCCTCGCAGCTATGGCCTTCGGGGAATGTGACCCTCGCGGAACCGGCAGTTTTGTGGGGAGGAGAAACTATCCGCCAAACCCACCGTCTCCAAAAGCGACTGTTGCGAAGGCTGTAACAGAAAATATTGCCCGTTTAATTTAAAATCACAGCTCCGAAAGTATAATTTTATTCTAAAAATATTATGGAAATATTAACATATGTTACATCATTGCATTCCTCTTTTTATTATCTATGTATTGCAAGTGAGAAATATATACGGTTCCATTTAAAAAATCAAAGATGATTAAATTTCTCAAAAACTAAAAATATTATTAACAGTACCTTTACAACATATTACTTGCCCCATTATTCTGCATTATTCAGCGACAACTGCACTTCGATGTCGTGAACAGTTTAGAAGTTATGGAGGTTGCTTATAGTTGGTGGGACTCCCTGCATTTTGAAATTTAGTTTGAATCAGAATCTTAATCTATTTTAAATTTACTGAAGAAACACCAATAACATGGCGAATCAAAGAATTATTTTTTTCAAAAATAGATAAAAATAATTATTAAAATAGAAAACGTTAAACTCTGTGACATGACCACTTCGGAATGCGTTCTATTTAGTTTTGAGTTGACACGTTTTATGTGTCCGTTTTTATTTTGTGTTTAACTCTCGCGCTCAGTTTTATCCGCGCAGGAGAACAATCAGTGTTCTCAAGCCAATGGATAAAAACCGAAAAACAAAACTGAAAGTCTTCTTTTGGTATTTGCTCTTTTGTCCACGTGCGCCTCCTACAGCGATTATGCAGGCGGCGTGTTCAGGAGGCCTGTAAGCGGTTGGCATCTGGGACAACTTTACCCGGATGGGTTAACTGTAGAAACGCACTGGGGCGTTGAAGAAAACCCAACACCCTTGTGATTATCAGAGTTCCGGTTTACAGCGGCTCCGGTTTAAACGGGGTAGTTTTATACTATGACAAGAAAACAATTCATTTAAAAAAGGAACACAGAAGCGTATAAATTAGTTACTGTGATAGAGGCTAATCGCTGGGTGATGCTCTAGGACAATTACCACTCTCAATTTTTGTCTCTGCAGTGACGCTTACTAGGACCGAGGATTCGATTCCAACTGATGGTGCATTTTCGTCACTAGCTGGATAGATAGGTTGAATTTAGCTGCTGTCTGGAAGAGAATTCGTGAGACAGGCTGCTTTGATGGGTAGTTTCCGTTTCTCCCACTAATATCAGATTAATGGAGGAGCAGTGCCCTAATAAAAGGGCCAAGGGCATACGTTCTTTCCCTCCTCTTCCTTGTCCTATCCTCTTCCCTTTCATAAAAGCTATCTAGAAAACAAGGAATGCGTTTCCTATGATGAGGTCAAATATGACACCGGTTGCACACACGTTACTACCTGATTTCCCTAAAGCAAGATTTAAGAAAAATGAAAATTTCTTGAGTAGCCTTTTGAATATGTAGCAGAAGTGGCGCTCACAAATACCTCTTACGTTTCGGAAAGATAAGCGGCGTCTAATTCCATTGTTCCCGAAAACAGTTCCGGATTTTTAGAAAGAGACCAACTCTCTGTAACAATAAAATAATCAGAAAATCCTACCGAAGCCGAATATTCGTTCATTTCTAATTACATTTCGCCGCAAAAAGTGATAGAATGACAAACTGCTATTTTTTTTAACCGAAACTCTTTGGGTGAGATTGTTAGATCACTTTCACGCAAATAATTTGGATCGTTCGAACTTTCGCAAAATTATTTAATACGTTTTACATATTCTACAAAGCAATCGTAGGAAGGTCTTTTATGAAATAATGTGGACAAGCGAAAAGACAGATGCAAGTGCATTCTGATACCTTTGTGAAGATGAGAGTTGTCTCGTCAAGATACGTCGAGTCGAAGTAAATCCAGACCGATAGCTGAGAAAATATAGCAGTTAAGTGTGAATCATGCAAAAACAGCCCAGTAAAGCGATATTCTGGTGGTTCTTTCAAAACACGTTTAAACACGAGGTGTGCACACCTGAAAGGATAACATATACTGGGAACGGAATGAACTAGTACTTGCGCTACCCTCCGATCTATAATCACAAGTTAGATAAAAGGTGATACTCGATGTTTGCATGCTCCAAGAATTCTTTCCTGCCGTCTTTCAGCCTCTTATGTTTATCAAAGTGGAACTTCAATATTTTTGTCGCAATACTGAACTATTTTATCACTATAACTCTACAAAACAAGAAACGAAAGTAAAGATAATACTCTTTAACACCGGCTTCTATTACGGCGAATTTTACGGACCACCGTTCGTTAAAAACACTCGATAGAACTTTTTTTTGGAAGATGGTAGTAAAGTGGTGATATTGAGATCAATGTAATGCATACTTTTTATGAATTTATCCCACAACCATGTGAAAAGTGAGTAACCCCTTGGTATTCTGCGTTTTCTGTCTGTGGAAACTGCACAGTGGGAGTTAACAATCACAAGATTCAACAATCTGTCAACAAAAAAATTCTCCTTCATTTTCACAGAGCTAAACCTTACCCTCGGTACAAATGAAAACCAGAAGCACATCGTCGAAATAGGGTGCAAAGAGTCGTTGTTCACCTGGAAGTAAATGTTCAATAAAATGCATTCTGTTATGGAAAATATGAGAGTACACTTGAAAGAAAGTATTGTAGTAAGAAGGTTTTGAAGTAAGAAATTCTTGCTTCAACCTTCAATATTCCTCCACCGACACTCGCATCTCTTCCTTGTCTGTCTGTTGCACTTTGAACTCTGCAGATATAATAGGTGATATTATAGGTAGGATCACTGTGGTGAAATAGTTCCGAGAAGGGAATTTACTGTTTAAGAATGCAAAGAGGTAATCTATTGTCACATTGAGTGCGCGTTGATATGGAAGATATAACGACGGAATTGAATCTCGAAATCCACAGCGTATGTCATCGCGGATCGTTTTAGTGAGGGGAAAATATGAACCAACGCCCCACGCGATGTTTACCCTGAAGGCTGTAAGTTAAGTGGATCGTTGTGAGTGCTGTGAAGATTATTCTGTGAACAAGTGCTCTGCCTTGGTGGCAGCCCTAGAGAGCGTGAGATGTTACTTCTGACAATATTATGAGCAATGTGTAATGACGCATTGATTGTGATGGTTGCATCACCGAAAAGAAGTTTGGCGAAGGAATATTGGAGAAGTATTGAAGAATGAAGTCTCGAAACTCATTCTCACAGTCTGTGACTCACTCCGTGTTTTGGTGCTCATGTGGAAAAGTGTGAAAGCCAGTGGTGTGGGGGCAATTACAGTTTGTAGATGGAGTAATGAATCATTTCATGTGCATTGGCATTTTATAGACATACTTGTGAGCTAGTGCTATTAAAATACATTTGGGAAATATTTACATTTTTGAGAGCTGTAATGAATGACGCTAAGCATACCGCTTTAAATACAAACCTCTGGATTCTGAACAATGTACTATATCATCGGAACACTTCCCCATCACCCAGTCTAAATCATTTAACTTTAACAGAGCATACTGAAGCAAACATTCGAAAATGAAAAATGACGGACAAACGTGATTTCAAGAGAGCGTTTGAGGAACAGTAGAACAGTTTTTCTATTCTAATATACCACAAAGTTGTAAAATACGTGATAGCCAGAGAACGTGCTCAAGTCAGTGCAAAGGGTAATCTTACAAAATACTTAAAAAAAGTTGTAACAGTTTCATTGTCCATAGCCTTTATGTGAATTATTATAATTCTATCTTAATAATATTATTAAGAATAACAAGGTTGTTATATCGTAGTGCTGTTAGTTCCTTCTGCACAGTTTCCACAGACCCAAAAGACCCACAGAGTAATTTAAGTGTTCACCCATTTTTTACACTGCCAGAATACAAAGGTGGTATAACGAAAAGTGATTGCCACACAGTCTACAACACAAATAATGGGCGTGTCATTAATTATTGTAAACCGCGGGTGACGCCTTAGCAATTGAAAATCTCAATTTAATTTAAATGCAGCATCGTCGACGACCATTACTCTACAGCAGTAATCTAGGAACCCGACATCCGTACCTTTTCGAAATAATTATTTATGCATTAAGGACATTATAAAGGTTCTAATTATGTAGAGTATAAAAAGCCGTCGCACCAAAAACTCAGCGACTTTTGTCGCTGCTCGATTGTTAGAACATGTGAACGCTCATGGTGTACACAAAACTTTACTTTTTACCCAATTGTAATGATTCGAATTTCGTTATTTACTAATTAACTAGATCTTAACTGGACTCGGCTTGTTTTATTTCCCTCTCATAGTTCCCTCCATAAGAATATCGTTACACGTTCTCAACTGTTTTCATACTGGTCTCGTAACCCGGATCCTCGCGATCCAGGTAAGTTATGCCGAGTATATCAAGCTCGGTATCGAAGGCAATAACAAGCAATAACACAGGCGTGTCAAGGTCGCGGAAAAGGTAACAAGCTTACTAGAGTTTGCGGGTGCTGCGTTCCGAGAAATTAGTGCGAGATTTGAAAGAAAGGGTTGTACAAATCTCTCCGAACTGGCGTACGTCATTGGATACCTTGGCAGTCTTTGTCAGAAGCCAGTTGACAGCTATTGCCACAAATTTAGCCACATCAATTCCTATTTACAATTTAAAGCGAAGAAATATCAGTTAAAAAGAAATAATACATCAATTTGAAATTCTCAATTGAGAGTAAAATTAAAAAAAAACTTGTATCAAAAAATCTTGATTTTGTAATCCTGTTTACTTAGGAGTGATATAAAAGCATGGACTTTTAAATCACTCTTAAGTAAGGTTAGACATTTTAACGGTCACATATTCTTGTCTGTTAAAATGCCGTCCGTTCGTCAGCGAGAACTTATAGAGTCTTGTTAATTTATTTCTCATTATTGCTAAATACAATAAATAACTGAATGATTTGATAATACAATATAAAACGAAAACAAGAAAAGAGCTCGCAATTGAAACGTATTTTTGCCATTTAGCAAAGTTGTTTATATAAAGGAGAATTTAGCAAGAAAATAAACTCAAAATAGTAATAAGTAGTGAAGGATATAAACATAATTCGGTTGTAGGTCATTTGATAGAAAAAAATCTGGCAAACGTATTTTCGCCTCGCCATGCCCTGCTGGTGAGACAACTAGTTGGAGAAAACCCCGCTAGCTGACGGTAAGTCAGCGCTGGATCTCACCATCCAGCGGAGGAAGGTCACCGCCAAAGCCCGAGACAAAACATGCACCACACTTACGGGAACAACGACCTTAGCAGTCGACGCGCGTTTCGCTATTCATCGCCACGCGCCGCTTCATCTTGCGCATATACACCCCTTTCTGGATTTTGAGGGGAAGCGAGTGCGGAGTGAGGGGAAGTTGCCCGTGCAGGGGACGGAGCGCCGGGCTCCCCAGGCGGGCAAGTAGTTCGTGCGGGCGCGGATTGACGCGCCTGCAATAACAAGTCGGTGAAAATTAAAACCATTTTCTGCCGTCAGTAATCTGCCCAGCAATCAGGGCTGCTTACGAGCGCAGTCAAGGTCAGGAGTTACTATCAAGGTCACCAAAACACGCTTCTCTTCTCCTAGGAATGGTTCTCAACCCATGAGTCGCTTGACATTTTTTTTCAGTTTTTGCTGAAATAAATCAAATTCCTTTGTCATTGTTTGGAATTTCGATTGTCGGAATTTTATCCCGACTGCTGGAATTCTGGATTCCGATTGTCGTTGCACGTTTCTGACATGTGCGCGTCCGCATCTTTTAGAACACAAACTATTCAGATGTTGCTGTGTAACGATTTGCTTTTCGAAACGGTTGTATGCTTGTAGTACTACCAACACGAAAAGACTTGCGATTCATCAATTATAATATTTTGAACGAGAAGACTTGTAAAAATCAAGCAAGTTGAAGGAATGAACGTTTAGATTTTCAGTAGGTATCAGATATGCTAGGACACTATTTGCAAAATATTCGGCGTTGAAATACATGAAATTACCTACAGGATAAGTTCAGTAAAGAGCGAGTCCATATGATCCCTCTAGAAATCCCCTTGTTGTTAAATTTGATTATTTTTATGAAATATAAATGTCAAGTACTTCATTTTTTACACGCCCTACATAAACGAAAATGATAAAACGACACGAAAGAGTGAAGTCAAGCCCATAGAAACACAGAAGTAACAATCAGATAAATAACGTTAGGAGTCGAAATAGCTGCGGGGTGTTCTAAAGTTTAATCAGCAGCACTTTCCCAACATGTCATTCAAGAGTCCCAAATGTAATGCTACTACTTAGCACTGCATAAATATTTTACTAGATCGGAGCACTTCTGTTTAAACTAACGTTCAAAGTGTGAAATCATCGTTTATTAGTCATCTCTGAGCAAATGTCTACCTTCGGTTTATTTGATTTATTTCGTCAAAAAAAGTCATCAAAATATATCTTACTTGCGGTGGAGAAGTTCCTTTTTAGAAATGAAATTTACAGTACTTAAAATATATTACAGAGAAATACATTTTTATATGCCATGCATCACTCGTGTATTCATTTAATAATACTTATCTGAGTTAGAGAATGTTGATTTATGAAATCGTTTGGGAAAATGAAATGAACGCCAATTAATGTATTATACAAGTTTTTAATTAGGTTTATTTATTAGTTATTTGATTTTTCAAATGTTTGTAGTCGGATTTAGCGTTCGCACGTTCTTCAGAAGGCGCGCAAAAAATGATAGGCGAAATCGCCGAACTGGGCGGTGTTCCTAAACCTAAGAGTCGCGAAATTCGTACATTACAGCCTGGAGCCAGAGGGCTTGATGGCAGGAAACGTTTTCATTATCTCACAACATAAGATTCTATAGCACTTACTTTCACTGTTGTACATCAATCTATGAGATGTGCTGCTTCATTTTTGATTTCTATCTACGGCTAAATATTTTTCTCTTGGAGTATTTGTGTTAAGAAATATGTTTACATAAAAGGAGATTAAAGAGTTATGACAAATTCTGTGAGATCCTCTCGTGACGTTTTAATTAATCGGATTGCTATTTTGCAACGGGGAACCTTTGATATGGAGAGGATATTACCGAAATTTTGATTTTAATGAAGAAATAATTTATTCCAAATTGTCTGCTTGTTGGTGGAATTATTTTTTTATATATTGTTCCTTAACAGATCTGTTGTGGGATCAGATGCAGGCAGACACGGTTCGACAAAGTATTTTTAAGAGTGCGATGGATTAGACAGCCGTGACAGTTACCTGATAAAGAAAGATACACTCTTGATACGAAAATGAGAAATTGTATATCATTTTGTGACATTAATTTTATTTTGAAACTATTATGTACGACTGTGCAGTAGCCATTACAAGAAAGTGTGTCAGTTTGTAGTTCTACCAGTGACGTCTGTTGTTAGTTCCAAGTTCCATTAGAGCAGTCTAAACACTTTGCGTCGCTGAGAGAAACACCAAATGAACATTTTGATCGTCAGTCGCAGCAAGTGGCGATAACGCGGAACACATTATAAATAAACTGTCAGTTTCCAAACAAGTTCATCATGCAGTAATGACTAAGAGTGTTACACATATAGTACGAGTTTACAAAAAAACTCTAAAACAATATGTTTAAATTAGTGAAATAAAGTAAATAGTTGAATAGTAGGATGTAAGAGTAGGTAGATAGTATTGGGTGTCTTAATTTTCTGTGTAATAATTGTTTTCGCTTCGACTTCCCGTTTATTTAGTACGTTATCCGCAAACAATATGTTTGCAGTACCCCCTAGAACACTGGATAATAATAAAAAAGTTAAACATATCTGTAAGTATTTAAGCTTGCCTAAAACGGGCGTTTGGTTCAAATAATAATTATTCTTACTTTCTTACTGATAAGGTGATTAAATTGATGACAGGATTTTTTTCTATTTGTAAGATATCATTAACTGAATTTAATAAGAAGTGTTTTTATTAATTCCCTGTAGAAATTAATTCCCGCAAAATTAATTAATTAGTTCCTCTTAATCGATTTGTACAAGTAATTCCGGTTAGAGAATAGTAAAAACTGTCTTTGAGACATACATTTTATTAGTTTGTTTTAATGATTAACGAAATTTGGGTGAAGTGAAAGTTAAATTCATATCTAAATAAAATTAATCAAAAATAGAAAATAATGAACTGCATATCTTCTCTTTGGAGAACTGGACCATAAAGAAAAGGTTTCATGTGCACCCTTGAAGGGGTAGAAAGGGCGCCAAGTTCTGCGACCTCCAGGGAAGCGGTGGATAAATTCTTCGTCCTGGAGTTTCTGGACAGGCGACCGTTGTCGAACATTTTGCGAATTCGAAGGTCGTTCCCGGGCCGGGAAAGAAATGGGCGGGGCGAAATCCACCTCGACCTGACGACGGAGCCGCGACCTAGCGCGGCTCTCCAACGGAGTCTTTCCTTGTCGATCTTCATTAAAGGTACTTCCGGTCACCAGCAGTCCTCCAAGTTTTCGACTACTTCTAAAGTCGTGCGGGTGGAAACGACTCGGTTCCTTGAATGATGGTCGACAAATGTCGAAATCGTGAGTGGGAGCGTAAAGAAAGGAAGTTGCGAGAAGTTTCGGGTCCCCAAAGAGTTGGTTGATCGAGTAGTTGGGTAATCGGTCTAATTTTCTCCGACGCATTTGCAAGTTTGCGTCTGTGTAAAGATCTCGTTGTAGAGTTCTACCTAAGAGATATGTTTATCTTGTACGTTGTTTAACTAGGCGTGAGTTAACTTTTAAAACCTGTAGACGGCTTTAATGATTGCGAGAACTCAGTAGGTGAACTTACGTAGATTTTGAGTACTGGTGTGTTTATTTGATCAAAGTTTGGCTTGAGATAAGATATAATAAAACATAATAATTTATTAAAAAATAATAATATCATCACACAGACGTATAAGATTGCAGATACATTCTTGGAAAAAAAGAATGCAGTTTTATTTAAGCAAAGTAAACACACAAAAAAAAATTGGGTACAAGAAATTCGCAACCGTCACAAAGGAATTCATGTTCTTAACGGTTTCTTTAGATAATAATTATAATAATAATAATATGAATAATGAATAATGAAATGATAATAATAATAATGATAATAATAATGATAATAATAATAATGATGATAATATAATGATGATAATAATTGATGATAATAATAATGATGATAATAAATATGATGATGATAATAATTAATGATGATGATAATAATAATGATGATGATAATAATATGATAATAATAGTAATGATGAATAATAGGTAATGATGATAAGATAGTAATGATGATAATAGTAATGATGATAGATAGTAATGATGAAATAATAGTAATGATGATAATAGTAATGATGATAATAGTAAATGATGATAAGTAATGATGAATAATAGTAATGATGATAATAGTAAGATGATATAGTAATGATGATAATAGTAATCGATTGATATAGTAATAGATGATAATATGTAATGATGATAATAGTAATGATGGATAATAGTAATGATGATATCGTAATGAATGATATAGTAATTGAATGAAATGTAATGATGATAATAGTAATGAATGATAAGTAATGATGATAATAGTCAATGATGATAATAGTAATAGATGATAATAGTAATGATGATAAATAGTAATGATGATAATAGTAATGAATGATAAATAAGTAATGATGATAATCGTAATGATGATAATAGTAATGATGATAATAGTAATGATGATAATAGTAATTGATGATAATCAGTAATGATGATAATGTAATGATGATAATAGTAATGATGATATAGTAATGATGATAATAGTAATGATGATATAATATCATAATCATTTTAATAATACGTTTTGATATTTCTGAATATTCACTCGACGATTGCAGAGGATATATTACGAGAAGCGTTAGTTTGAACGATCAATTAATTTTCTTTAAATATTTTTTTATAGAAGTTTATGAAAAATTCTGTTAGAGGCAAAATTAGATAATTTAGTTCTTGGGTTCTCTATGGAACTTCTTATATGCAATAGTACAGTATTGACCTCTTCAAATTGCGAACTTCGGGCTTCGAAATTAATTTGTTGTCTCTGAGAGGTTCTAAACTACACGCCAAGATAATTTCTATTATTTTTATTCACTTTTACTCTCTCTCTCTCTCTCTCTCTCGGACAAACTGATATTGTTGCAGCATTTGTCGGATGTGTCCTGAAACTAAGTTACAACACAATTTGCCAAAAATAGATACTGAAAATCGAAAGTAATAGAAATACACTATTCACTCATCATACTATATTCCATCAATCTATTAATTCAGCCACTTGACATACCAGAATAGTTTCCGTTGTTAAATAAAATTTAATTTCGTAGGAGATTTATAATACCCAAGAATGCTGAAGATGACTTTAGATTAATAATATATTGCTTAAACGTGTCACAATGTGAGATTTAGTGGGAAAGACTGAATGAACATTGTCCTTTGAGGTAAAAATGTGACATTTTGTGATTTCAATTACTTAAATGAATAATCTGAAGTGATGCGAAATGGATAGATAATTGTAATGGACAACACGTAGCTGTTTAGGAAAGTGTCTCTAAAATTTAAATTTAACCTAATTGTGGTAGCAATGTCTTACATTTAAAGAGCGTTTCTTTTAAAAACCCGATAAATGCAAAAGAAATCCAATATAGTGTCAAAAGATGCCATCGTTCGGGTATCTTTTGCCATCGTTCGGGCATCTTTCAAAACCGGTTTTATCAAAACTCGACAAATTCTACACAAAACTATAACTTTAAACTTTAGAAACCACAAGATTTTAACAAAATACTCATATTAAAGCATTATTAAACGTGCTTTTTAGACCGATTTTTTTAATAGCGCAATGAATCCCGATAAGTTAATTTTACTAAATAGCTTATCAAGATTTTGTGTGAGTAGTGTGTGCGAGCTGTGAAATCCGTATCGGAGAAATGTCACCTTTAAAAACGTGGCCGTAGTTTTTTATCCTTTAGATGTTTAACATGTATCTACGGGCATTCCTGTTATGGGTGTTGAATATTTTGCTCGAGGCAGAGAATAGTGATACATCTCTTTAAACTGTACTGACAAATGACGGTTCTAAAATATTTAATGTGCTCCCAAACTAACAGACATTAAGATACACATCACTATCGAATCGTATACATGAAGAGAGATACAACCCGATAATATAAACATGATCAGAATATCATGTAGAGCCTGAGATTTGAATCGGGAAAGAAATAAGGAAGATATATTAAAGAACGTGTTAGTGTAGGTGAAATTAAATGTAGGTAAAATTAGTGTAGGTGAAATTGTAGTTCGCAAAGAAACAGAATTCTCAATACATTTAAATAATAACGTAAGAAACTGTAATCGTATATTAAGGACAAGTCTGTATCCATATCTAAGTGATTAGTTATCATTAAATTTGCAATCTCAGATCCTGGTAGAGACACGGTGGTGGTGAGTTAAGCGTTTACACACGTGCATATACTAATCTTGAGTGCGCGTGTACGTGCGTGCGTGTACGTGCGTGCGTGTTTGTGTGTGTGTGTGCGTGTGTATGCGTGCGTGTGTGTGTGTGTGTGCGCGCGCGCACACACACACACACACACACACACACTTTCACTCTCCCTTACGCAGAGTGCAATACGCAAATATATGAATACGAGAAAAATGGTAATTCTTTCCTTATTTGTCATCGATAAGTCAATGTAACCTACGTAAATGTGATCAAAACGTCGATCTATAAAGAATGTGTAAAAAAAAAAAACGCGAACATTTTTCATTGCTCTTGTATGTTAATTAGTGTATGTTAATCTGCTGTATAATGTAACTTTAAACAGAGATGTTCATATCACCTGAGTGAAATGAAACTAGTAAATTGGAGTTAGAAGAATAAGTAAAGAACAGTAATAAGAATCTGTTTACGCTCCCTCTTTTTGGAATGTGTACTTACCTTCGAGATTTCTCTGTTTAACATTATTAGTCTTTGAACTGAAGGTTATTCACTTACTGATTATCACGTGATTTAAATATAATATGTTAAAGTCACAATATGTTAATGATATATTTATGAAATGGAGTGCGTGTAAGAATTTGGAAATGTTTACGTATTAAAAGTTCATTGAGTAAATTACAAAAAATAAATTTTTCCCGTTGGTATCTCGAATGTTAAGCAGTGGAAA